TGATGCTTTCCTCAAATCTCCCCTCACTTTACACTTGAAATTCTCTCCAAATCCTTAACAAATGCTCTCATACTCTATCCTACAACAAAGCCCTAAGGACTTGAAAAGTACTGAAAAAGTCCCTTTCTTCTTTACCAAAGAATCCCTTTATCTTGTTGAATAACTCCCCACATTGTGTAGAAGAACTGTTGAAAACTGCCCAGGCAATTTATGGCTGGCGCCTAGGCGTCAGGTTCTCTGTTTGTCAATTTTGGTGGGGACGCCTAGGCTCCAGGGCACACAAAAACCTAGCGCCAAGGCGCTGGGGTAGTGGTGCCTTGACGCCCACTGGCTGGCGCTTAGGCGCCAACCTCTCGGGTTCTCAAGGCGGAACTGGCACCTTGGCACTAAAGAAATCTGGCACCAAGGCACTAGTCACCTGTGTAATCTATTGCTCCAAGTCACCTCCACTTTGCTCCATTTCTTCTCCACTTTGCTTCACTTCTAATACATGTTGAAGCTGCAAGAAAAAATATAAAAATATCTTTCTTTAAAGTGCAATTTCATCTATAGACATGTGCAAAACATAAAGAAAATTTAACATTCTTTTTCTACACATCAAAATCCCCCAAACTTAAATGTTGGAATATTAAAATTGATTTTCTTAATTTGAGGGAGTGGATTTCATTAAAATTAGCAGCATTTTTGCCTCAAAAAATTGATAGTGTAAATTTATAATAATTCTAGATTTACAATTCCAATCGGTGCTGTTTTTTCACATTCTATTCATGCAGCTGTAGAAAGTTGGAATATGGGTGAGATTTAAATCTTATTGTTTATGTTAAAATAATTATTTAATAATTGGTGATATGTTCACTACATCCGTAAGAAGAAGGAGAGATCTATATGGATAGGTGAGTATGTATAAGGTGAAGCTTTCATAGTGTAGTCCACTCTAGAGTATCTCTGGAAGAGAGAGAAAATCCAATAAAATCAAGCATCCAAATGTGGAGGCACATGAGCCTCATTAAACATTATATATCCGTTCTACACATTGAGTATCAAAGGAGTTTGGTAATATTCATTCAATACTTGACAATTCATTTAGGTAAATATTTGGCACTTTTTTTTTTACAAGTCAATAGAGGCTAGCGCTTGGAAGGGAGCCCAATTATGTTGAGTTGCATACCCGAACACATTGAAGCCATGTGAATCAGCAGTGGACCAATGCCAAATCTTAACGGATCCATATAAGTAAATTATTTTTTTTAAAATTCTCTAATTTAATTAAAACCTTATTTAAAGTGAGAATTATCCTTTTGTTTTACTTTAGTAAGGGAACTATGAATGCATGAGGGAGATAGAGTAAAAGCCTGATAGGAACTGACAGTAACAGTGGTCAATTTCAGTCCAACAACTCAGACAATGAAACCTGGAGGGATGCTGTGAAGAGGAAGTGAATGGTCTATGGCATGGGTGCTCGGGAATTTATCTATAAGGCCAAGCACTCTCGTTCAGGTAAGAATCAAAGGCCAGCATCATAGGTTGATGATGTAGTCTAAGCATGTGTTTGTCCTTATTAAGAAGTTGTAGGCCAAATTTGATACCGATTTATGTGTTAGGGATGCTTGGGTAGAGAGGCTTGAGGCAGCCATTAAACAGTTGTAGCGTGGACATATCGTCGTGGCAAGCAACCTCTAAGCACTTTACAGGAGGAGGAGGATGAAGATGATAAATAGGACTATGCTATTTTTTTATAATTGGATTATATTTCTTTCACAAATATTTAAGGAACTATTGCATTGTTTATTAGATTTTTCAAGATATATCTAATGATTTCATTAGCTATTAGTGCCTTTATATGTTCATTTAGTCTATTGTGAGATATAATTAATGTTATTGTTGAGTATTAGGATATTTGGTTGCATGTGTGAAAATTTTGATTGATTTTTCATTTTTCTTTTTGCTACAGATTTGTGTCTTATCTTTGGTTGATTTTTTTGTTGTAAATTAGCGATTAAACTAATCAGCTGTAAGTTTAGCGGTTAATATGTGTCTGATCAATTATGTTGCAAGCTCACATGCAGCCGAAAAAACTATAAATCTAATGTAAATTACTGGCGGAACAAATAGACACAAGTAGAGTCGTTCCCTATATGACCGATCAATTATATCTAAATCATTCAATTATTGAAAAAAATCATATGCAAATTCGTCGCTAAAGTTAGCGGAATAAATTTTCATCCAAAAATCCATTTGAGTCAGAAGTTTTAGCAGTGGAACGTTTTTCAGTTGAATTTCAGTCAGTAATATTTATTACCTGCTAAAATTCATGTTATTGCGAGCTAATTTTCAGCCAATAATAGTTGTATATACTGTAATGTTTTTTGCTGCATGTCTCTTAACTGCAAGTACAAGGTAAAGGAGATGAATATTCTTCATTGTTAAGATAGGTTTTATCATTTGGAGTGGAGGGCATAGCGCTTGCACCAAAATATCACTTTATGATAACCAACTTAGATCACTCCTTTGGTAGTTATACCCAAATATTTGCTCTCAGAGATTGTGCCCAAGCTTCCCTTTGATTATCTTCATAACCATACTTTCCATCTCAATTAGCGACCATTAAGTCACAAAATCGTGATGCCCTTTATTTTCTAAAGCACCTCTGATTGTCTTCTCTATAATCCTTGATGCATTCCTTCTGGTATTTACCATAGATCCCATGCTCACTTCCCCCCTTAGTGTTCAATTTGATTTCACGTTCATTATACCTTTGAGGATAGTATTTTTTAAATTATTCATGATTACAACCTTGCTAAAACTCGATAAAAAATAACTGAAAGTGATTATGAGAGAGAGAGAGAGAGAGAGAGAGAGAGAGACTGAAAGTGATTATGAGAGAGAGAGAGAGAAAAAAAAGTTTAGTGTTAAAAGCTCCAAAATTTCACAAGAATTTAATAATTACAAGAATTGTTTAATTTTGCTTTATTGATCAACCAAAGATTTCTCCATTGACCAACTACTTATAAGTTTAACTTAGGTATTGAGTACTACATATGCCTTACATGATAAAAAATTATATATAGACTTATTGGTTAATTATTATAAAATATGTGATTATGGTAGCTTCACTTCATATTTGAACTTATAATTTCTATATCATTTGATTTAATGAGTAGTCTTTAGGCTTAGGTGACCATACTAGAATTGTTTTTGAACTAGTGAGTTCATCTGGAGCTGTGTGAGCACACCATGAGCTTAGAGTGTAGGCTAATATCAAGTTCATAACTATTATGGTTATACCTTGAGTGCACCTATATTAAGTTGGGCAACTTCATACCACCGAAAATTCAGAAAATTTAGGCTTCCAACATAAACATATTAATACAAAAATTACATTGATTTAATCAATTAGCATGAAAACACGTTCGTTTATAAATTTATACCACTATTAGGGGTGTAAACGAGTCGAGTTTGAGCAAGCCCAAGCTTGGCTCGTTATAAAATACCTTTGTTCGTGTTCGACTCTTTAATATATCGAGCGTAAAAAAATTTGTCCGCTTAAGACTCATTTGCTTAACGATCCAAATAAGCGTTGTTCATGAATAACGAGCTATTTTGACATCCTACTCACGTAGCATTCTCACATTCTAGTCACAGAACCGTAGAAAGTTAAGGATATGTATGAGATTTAAATCTTATTGTTTTTATTAAAATATTTATTTAAATAGAATCTAATATATTGATATGATATTTTTTTAAAATTAATAAATTTAAATGATTATAAATATGCAGTCTTGTAGTCACATAAATTATTTAAACAAGTACCAAATAAGATTAAAAAAAAAAGTAAAGTAAAAATGACTAGCGGCCAAATTCCAGCCACTCCTTTTAAAAAGCAAGTGCAAAAACATTAATTAGAACCGTGATCCCCAACCTCTCATATAACTAACTACCTAGTAATCACTTAATACCAAAGACAGTACAAATAATTAATTCACACAAACTTACACCATACCATTCAAATAATGCACACCCAAGACCCCAAAGATCTCACCCCTCTCCTCCTCTCCACCACCACCACCACCACCACTTCCGACGAACTCTACCTCATCCGCTTCCACTCCAGCCTCAAATGGTCCACTCTCGACCACTCCTCCTCCCTCTCCCGCACCATCTCCTACCTCACCTTCCTCGCTCTTACCATCATAATCCCAATCTCCCTCTCCCTCCTCCTCCCCACCATCACCTCCTCCCTCCTCTCCCAGCTCCCCGCCTCCATCCTCGCCACCATCTCCTTCCTCACCCTCTTCTCCTCCTCCTCCTCACCATCACCTCCTCCCTCCTCTCCCAACGCATCTGAGACGAAAGA